ACTCCGCATCTATCAGAATGGCTAAAATTAAAAAAAAAAAATTTAAACCAAAAACAGCGACACCACCAAATTCTGGCAAAAAGGCATGGAAACTAGATCACATATGTGGCTGATGGGAACGGAAAATGGTGCCACCGCTTTGAAAACAACTAAACATGCAACTGTCTTGGGACCGAACAACTGCACTCCGGGCATTTACCCCAGAGGTGAGAGCACGTCGCACAAAGCATGCACACAAACGCACACAGCAGCTGTACTCTCAAGAGTTCCCAAACCGGAAACGACCGAGAGACGCTTCAGCATCAGAACGGCCAGCAAGCTGTGGTAACCCGAACACAAGGAACACTACCGAGCAGCGAGAAAGAACAAAGCACGGAGGCACACGGCAACTTACAGAAGACTTCTGCTGAGCGAGAAAGAGCCAGTCCCAGAAGTGCACACACCGTACGGTTCCATTAATACAACACGTCCGAAATAACAAACTCATAAAAATGGAAGCCAGATTAGTGGTTGCCGGAGGCTGGGGGAGGAGAGGGCACGAGGTGGCGGTGGCAGTGAAAGGACTCGCGTGATGGAACTGCTCGTATCATGACCGCGTGGCCGTCACACGGATCTGTGCACACGGAAGAATCACGTAAGCGCACACACACACGTCAAAGTCAAACTGGTAAAATCTGAGCACGGTTGTACTGATGTTAACTTCCTGGTTGGGGTCACGTACTCTAGTCATGTGCAAGGTGCGCACTGTAAGGTTACGGGGGGAACTGGGTGAAAGATACAACTGGTCTCTGAACTATTTCTTACAACTGCATGGAAATCTACAATTATCTCAACTTGAAGGTTTTTTTTAAAGCAAATAATGTCATTATGAAATGTTATCATACAACATATGTATTAAATTTAATGGGAATAACCCTAAGGTTGAATTAAGATCCCCAGGGAAACACCATCTGCTGAAGTTCAACTAAAACTATGACACGATGACGGATGTGTTTCTTTCACCTGGTTCACATTTCCTAAATCTCCTTTAACAAGTGTGAACTTCCTCTACTGATGAAATAAACAAAATTCCAGAAACAGGAACAAGTACACACAGAAAAAAGGGAACTTTTGTAACACTGTAAAAATAATATGTAAAAGAAATCAACTGTATTTCTACACACTAATGACAATCAGAAAGTGAAATTTTAAAAAACATTTACAGTAACACCAAAGAATTTTAAATATTTACAGACACATTTTACTAACCATCAAAAACATCGAGGGTAAGTTGAGAAACCATCAAAACACCTTCGTCAAAACCTGTCCAAAGTCTGTACACTGACAACCACACACACAGCTCTGCTCAGAGAATTAAGTAAGAGTCAAATAAATGGGGAGATACCTCACAACC